ATAAGTATGTACATTCACACACGCTCACAGGAACACACACAAAGACACACATGCTCAGACCCACACACTCACACATAAACACACAGACCTCACACTGACGTAAACCCACAAGGACACACACATGCTCAGACCCACATGCTCATACATATGCACACTCACAAGTACACTCACATGCTTGTGTGTGCAGCCACACCCTCAAACACTATCCAGATGCTAGTGTGTTGAACTGTGTATCTGCACCTTACTAGGATCAGGGCAAACAGCAGGGCCTTGCACTGAGGGAGTCTGTCTGCCCTGAGGGGGGTCTGTCTGCCCTGAGGGGGGTCTGTCTGCCATGAGGGGGGTCTGTCTGCCCTGGGGGTGTGTCTTGTCTGCCCTATGGGGGTGTCTATCTGCCTTGGGGGGTGTCTGTCCACCCTGGAGGGGTCTGTCTGCCTTGGTAGGGTCTGTGTGCCCTGGGGGGACCTTCTTCAAACCTGGGGACTGAAGTCACAGCTAGCAGGAGGGCCAGGAGGCCCCTGGGCCTGTACCCTTGAGAAGCAAGGGCCCAGGCGTGTTCTCCCACCTCCCTGGGCTCAGCGGGGAGGCTGGCCCAGGGCCTGGGGTCGGGGGTCCACCTGGAAGAGGCTGAGGCCAGGGAGGCTGTGCCCCGCCTGGCGCACTTGCAGGCAAAGTATTTTTAAACTCATTTCCTTGACCTAAAAAGGCTCTTTTTGGACTGAACACCTAGTCTTTGGGACAGACCCCGAACACCGCCTGTAAATAGGTTGGAGCACCCAGGGAGGTGGTGATAGCATCCGGGGCCCCAGTGTGGGCTCCCCCATGGGGGTGCCCAGGGTAGTCTTCCTTTATATTTTCACTATTGTACTTCATTTGTTCACTTGTCTTTTGGCTGTGCTGGGCCTTCCTTGCTGCTCACACGCGGGCTTTCTCCAGGAGCGGTGCGTGGGCTCCTGGGCGGCTCCGCGGCTCGTGTGATCCTCCCGGACTGGGGATCAAACCCGCCTCCCTGGCATTGGACCGCTAGTGAAGTCCCCGGGGTGTTTTGAATCGCAGAACCAGAAGAGACGAAATGGGCCCAGGCCCCCGAGTGCCTCCGAGGGCAGGAAAAGGGGCTGCAGGGCAGAGGGCAGCCTGGCTGCATGGGCTGGACCTGAGCGCCTGGAATTTACAAACCCGCTCCCTCTCTCCGCGCCGGAAGTGTGCTTCTTACGCTGAACACATCTACATATATCCACAGGCTCCCCACACCCCGGCCTGTGCTGGCTGTGTTCCGGCCGGCGTCCCTGTCCCAGTGGCGCCCGAGACCCCCCGCCCCAGGGCTTCCCCTGCCCGTCTCGGCCACCTGTCTCCCTTGGGGCGGCGGGGCTTCTTGGCTAAGGGCGGGCAGTGCTCCTCAGATGCACCTGGGCCCACACTGGCTGCCTCAGTTTCCCTTCTCACCCTCGGTGCTCACCTTCCTGACTCCCGTCCTTCCTGCCTCCTGGTCGGCGGCTGGCGGCCAGGAGGGGACTTGGGGGTCCAGGGCCATAGTGAGACCCTGCTGGTGAGCGGGCGGATCGAGCTTGGGGCTGCCTGCAGGAGGCGCCCTCTGCTCCTAGGGTGCAGGGCCGTCACTTGAAAGCTTCTCCCGCAGCCCAGAGGCCGACCTGAGGTCAGTGGCTCCCTCAGTTCAGTCGCTCAGTCGCTCAGTCGCATCTGACTCTCTGCGACCCCATGAACCGCAGCACGCCAGGCCTCCCTGTCCGTCACAAACTCCCTGAGTTTACTCAAACTCATGCCCATCGAGTCGGTGATGCCATCCCACCATCTCATCCTCTGTCGTCCCCTTCTCCTGCCTTCAATCTTTTGCAGCATCAGGGTCTTTTCCAGTGAGTCAGCTCTTCGCATGAGGTGGCCAAAAGATTGGAGTTTCATCTTCAGTGTCAGTCCCTCCAATGAACACCCAGGACTGATCTCCTTTAGGATGGACTGGTTGGATCTCCTTGCAGTCCAAGGGACTCTCAAGAGTCTTCTCCAACACCACAGTTCAAAAGCATCAATTCCTCAGCACTCAGCCTTCTGTATGGTCCAAATCTCACATCCATACATGACTTTTGGAAAAACCATAGCTTTGACTGCAAAGACCTTGGTTGGCAAAGTAATGTCTCTGCTTTTTAATATGCTGTCTACGGTGGTCATAGATTTCCTTCCAAAGAGCAACCATCTTTTAATTTCATGGCTGCAGTCACCATCTGCAGTGATTTTGGAGCCCAAGAAAAGAGTCACTGTTTCCATTGTTTCCCCATCTATTTGCCTTGAAGTGATGGGACTGGATGCCATGATTTTCATTTTTGGGGTATTGAATTTGAAACCAACTTTTTCATTCTCCTCTTTCACTTTCATCAAGAGGCTCCTTAGTTCCTCTTCACTTTCTGCCATCAGGGTGGTGTCATCGGCATATCTGAGGTTATTGATATTTCTCCTGGCAATCTTGATTCCAGCTTGTGCTTCATCCAGCCTGGCATTTTACATGATGTACTCTGCATATAAGTTAAATAAGCAGGGTGACAACAACATACAGCCTTGATATACTCCTTTCACAATTTGGAATCCTTATGATTATACAGTGGAAGTGACAAATAGATTCAAAGGATTAGATCCGATAAACAGAGTGCTTGAAAAACTATAGTCAGAGGTTCATGACATTGCACAGGAGGCAGTGATCAAGACCATTCCCAAGAAAAAGAAATGCAAAAAGGCAAAATGTTTGTCTGAGGAGGCCTTACAAATAGCTGAGAAAAGAAGAGAAACTCAAGGCAGAGGAGAAAAGGAAAGATATTCCCATCTGAATGAAGAGTTCCAAAGAACAGCAGGGAGAGATAAGAAAGCCTTCCTCAGTGATCAATGCAAAGAAATAGAGGAAAATAACAGAATGGGAAAGATCAGAGATCTCTTCAAGAAAATGAGAGATACCAAGGGAACATTCCATGCAAAGATGGACACAGTAAAGGACAGAAATGATATGAATGTAACAGAAGCAGAAGATATTAAGAAGAGGTGGCAAGAATACACAGAAGAACTATACAAAAAAGATCTTCATGACTCAGATGACCACAATGGTGTGATCACTCACCTAGAGCCAGACATCCTGGAGTGCAAAGTCAAGTGAGCCTTAGGAAGCATCACTATGAACAAAGTTAGTGGAGGTGATGGAATTCCAGTTGAGCTATTTCAAATCCTAAAAGATGACACTGTCAAAGTGCTGCACTCAATATGTCAGCAAATTTGGAAAACTCAGCAGTGGCCACAGGACTGGAAAAGGTCAGTTTTCATTCCAATCCCAAAGAATGCTCAAACTACTGCACAACTGCACTCATCTCACATGCTAGCAAAGTAATGCTCAAAATTCTCCAAACCAGGCTTCAACAGTATGTGAACCATGAACTTCCAGACGTTCAAGCTGGATTTAGAAAAGGCAGAGGAACCAGAGATCAAATTGCCAACATCTGTTGGATCATAGAAAAAGCAAGAGAGTTCCAGAAAAACAGCTATTTCTGCTTTATTGACTATGCCAAAGCCTTTGACTGTGTGGATTGCAACACACTGTGGAAAATCCTTAAAGTGGCTCCCTGGGCGTGGATAAACAGGAGGGTGAAGCGGTGTGCACTGCAGGCTGCGGGGGGTGGCGGTGGCGATGGTGACCACGTGGCAGATGTGGGGCGGGGAGTGGGCTTCTTGTGTGGACGCCCCACAGGCCGGTCGGTCGTGATGCCCAGCACGCTCCAGCAGCGAAGGAGTTCTGGGCGTGTGGTCAGCGCTGGTCTGCTAGGCTTTTCTTTCTTCTTAAACATCTTCCTTGGAGAAGAGAAAGGGCTGAAAGGATGCTTTCCTGACAGCAGTGGCTGCGCTGGGCTCTTCACAGGAGGGACCGGCCGTGGACGAGGACCAGCGGGCTCCTCCCACCCCAGTCGTGCCCCGGCCAGCCCTGGATTCAGGGGGAGAGGGGTTCTCTTAGCGTCTCTGGCCCGCAAATGTAGCCGCAGGGGATGCTGGCGCTGGGCAGATGGCTCAGTGCTTTCCCACTGAGAATGTCGTCCATGCAGCGGTGATCCCCGGGAAGGCCACGCAGGGGAAGGGTCCTGGGGGGTCTGCCACTCAGGAGACCGCTGGCGAAGGCTCAGCAGCTCCACGGGGCCGACCCCGAAGGCCAGTTCACAGAGACTCAGGTGCCTTCACCTGGAACTTTCCAAGACTGCAAGGTCGTCTTTTTTCTCGTGTGAAGAGTGTGGCTGAATTCAGGTGAGGGCCGAGCCCACGAGAGAGGCGCCGTCCAGCCTCAGAGCAGGCGTGTTTCTGAGTCGGAAGTCCCCAGGGTCCCCCACCCGTCTCCCTGGGGATGGACTGGAGAGGGGGGTCCTCCGCCAAAGGAGGATGGCGGGGCGGAGCCCAGCACCCCGTCCTGGTGGGCAGCAGAGGGAGCCGTGACCGCTGTCCGTGTCTGCGGCCCTTGCTTCCTACTGGCTTCGCACAGGCCATCTGCTCTGCCCACGGCCTTGGGAACGCCTCTCCAGGCCCTGGAAGCCCCATGAGGGTCCACACGCCCAGGAACCCTGGCCCTCAGGAACAGGGCCCGGCGGGTTGCACCCCCGGCCACGTGCCTTGCTCTGAAGGCTGCAGCTGGGTGGACAGGGGGCCCTCCAGCCCAGGGACTCGGCCCCAGGGAAGAGAGACGAAGAGGCTGAGCCTGGCCCGGCCCCGAGGGCCCTGCCCTGCCCCGCCACCTACGTTTCCAGCCTCCAATTTTTGCAACACGGTCACCCTCTTCCCTTTCCTTTTGTGACCCCTGGTATCCTTCAGAGCACCCGCCCGTCCGGAGGCTCTAGGGCGGCGTCAACGGCTGGGCTTCAACAACTGGGACCTCTGAGAGTGTGGGGTGGGGCGGGGGGTGCTTCCGGCGTCACCCCCACACGGCAGCCCTCCTCGGGGCCTGCCTGGCCGCCGCCGCCCTCTCCTTGAAGGTGCGTTCGATGTTCGTGATGCTTTCGCCCCAGTCGGCCGGCAACAGCCCTGCTGGCCCCTGCCTGGCCACCAGCCCGACTTCCGCGCCGTGACCAGCAGAGGGCGCTCGGACTCCACGCAGGGGCCTCTGTCCCGCCCGCCCGCGGCCCTTCCGGGATGCTGGACCCCGGGGAAGCTCGTGCGGAGCGGAGGCTGCTCCCGACGCAGGGGGCCGCCTGACCCAGCGCGGCCGCTGCTCCGCTGCCCGGGGCAGTGGCCGGGGGATGGGAGGCCGCCCGGGAGTGCTGGCGCCAAGTGGAGGGGCCCGCACCCTCGGGAGGCGTCCATGGAAGGGGCAGCGGCTGCCCAACGCTGGAAGCGACGGGCGCTGACCCTCAGAAGGATGCTGTTTTCTCATACGGAGGCCATGGAATAGCGGCGGCAGCGACAAGTCGCAAGGAAGCGGACAGGCCCGTCTCCGCCCGGTCACCCTGAGCTGAGGCCGGCGCTTCTGGGCTCTGACACAGCAACCCCAACCCCAGCACCTCCCCCCCGCCCCCAATTATGTCTCTGCCATAGATCCTGTTTTCTAGGCGCCTGTCTGTTGGGTCTGGCTCGAGGGTTTCAGCTGGGATGCCGACGACATGGCCCAGCTGTGTGACAGACACAGGGACCCAGTGCCCAAGGCTCCTTTCAAAGACACAGGGCTGGTTTCCCGACCTTCTGGTTGCCTGGCTCAGAGAGGGAGCCTTGAGCCTATGGAGAAGGGGGAACTTCCCGCCTGGCATCCAGCAGAAAAGGTGTCCCTCTGCCCCAGAGGCAGACACACGGGCCTCGGGACACAGAACAGAAGCTTCTGTCCACCAGGCGGCTCGGTCGGTTGGGGGAGCCCTTGGATTTTTGGCATCATATTTCTTCGAATTTATCTTTTGGAATTTCTGGGTCCTCTTATATAAGCCAGTCTCCCCCTTCTGGGAACATAGCTGCCCTCATCCTGGAAGCCAGAGACCCCACTGAAAACCCAAAGCTTCACATGGTTTCCTCGTCTCCTCACGGGCCCAGGGCCTGTGTACAGAATGCAGATCACTGTCAGTCTCTTGTTCATCTTAGAAAATCAAACCTCAGCCAAGAAGAGCCGAGAGGATTACCTCCAAATGCAGGCTCCCTAGTTTCCCAGCGGGGGTGGTTTTCACCAGGTGGGGCGAAGCCCATGTGGCTTCTGGCGCCTGCCCATGGGTCTGTCTTCAGTTTACCTCCAGACTGGCATCAAGTTCGCCTGTTACAGCAGCAGGTCTTCCTGGATTTGTTACGCAGCGAGGAGCATGGCAGCCTTTGAACCCCAAGAGAAGATGCACCATGCTAGCTGCACCCCAGAACGTCCCAGTGCCCCCCACTGCAGCCCCCCCCCCCCATAGTGTAAGTGACAGTGTTAGTCACTCAGTCGTGTCTGACTCTTTGTGACCCCAGGGACTGTAGCCTGCCAGGCTCCTCTGTCCATGGGATTCTGCAGGCAAGGATACTGGAGTGGGTTGCCACGCCCTCCTCCAGGGGATCTTCCCAGCCCAGGGATTGGACCCGGGTCTCCTGCATTTGCAGGTGGATTCCTTGCCATCTGAGCCACCAGGGTTTCCATGTGAGATCTGCAAAGACCCAGAGAGTACGCATTTCAGGCTCTGGAGGCCGTGTGGCCTCCAAGGCAGCTTCTCGGCCGTGAGAGCCCTGAGCGGGAGAAGGCAGTAGGCAGAGGAATGAGCCGGGCGGGGGAGGTGCAGGGGACTGAGGGTCCAAGAGAAATTTACTGGTTGGAAACTGAGTTATGAACTTGATAGAAATTTCACATATGAAATATCCTTCTTTAGCTGTTTTGTTTTCAACCACTTAACATGGAAAACTCCATCTCAGCTCCCCGGCTGCATGAAAACAGGCCGCTGGCCAGATTGTCCCTGGGGCCGAGGCTAGCCGATAAGAAATCCTATGAAGGTCACTTCCCTGGGCCTCTCCACCCCCTTGAGTGGACTGTTCTTTCACAAGCATGGACTGGCCACTTCACTGCGTCACTGGGGAACCCAGCTTCTCCCCGCCACCCCTGCCCTGGGCCTGGAGCTGGCTCATGGGCAGGCACTGTTGATTTCTTGCCAAATCTTGCAGCCGGCCGGCATTCTTTGCCTATCAGCCCACTCCATGCGGAGGTGATGCTGACAGCTAGGGGTCTCCACCAGGGGAGGAGGGGGCTGTCCCCCCAGCCCCCCGCTGGCAGCTTTCTCAGATGGATGGGCTCCGGCTTGGTCCCAGGGCATGGCCCTCCCCTCCCTGGACGGGTCTGCAGTGTGTGCTCTCCATGAGATGTTTTATTTCACCTTTTGGGGACACCGTGGTGGAAGAACGCGTGAGCCGCGGATGACAGGAGGGGACAGGGGTCCTCCCACAGAACAGACACGCACAGGGTCTCTGTGACTTCTTTAATTTTTCAAACAATCGAGCACAAAGACAAGAAGTTCAAGTACATTCTGATGCAAGTGTTGGATGAACAGACGTGCATTTAGCCACGAGGGAGGCAGGCGGCAAGACCACGCTCACCCTGGCAACCAACAGTCGGTCCCGTCCCCCCCGACCCCGAGAAGTGGGCCCTGGGCCGGCGTCAGCCTGCGCGGATCCTTGCCGGGTGCGGTGGAGGTGGAAAACAGAATTCTCACCATGAAGCTGAGAAGGGCCTTGAAAGGTGGGACCCCCGAGGGGCGGGACCACCTCGCCCGGCCAGGAGGGGGCCTGGCCTCTCTCTGACCGCTAATGAGTCGGGGGGTCGCCAGGCCCGAGCCCACCATGTCCCTGGTGCTCACGGTTAACTGAACACTCAGACTTGAACAGTCACCAGAGCAGAAACCTCAATTCAGCAGGGCTTGTAACCTGGCTGACCCCTGAGACCACCAGGGAGAACCAGGGACCGCTCCCGCCTGGACGGCAAGCTCTGGCCCCCAGCCCCGTCCATCGGGGCCCTGGCCTCCTGGAAAAGCCACACCTCACCAGACCTGGAGCACAGAGGCCCCCCGGGGCCTCAGGAGCGGCTTCCCCAGACCCTGCCCTGGTGGGATGGAGGGGGGCCCAGGGCTATCAGCTTCAGTCCTGTGCCCTCGCCCCAGGCCGGCCTCCAGACATGTCGCATCCACTGAGAAGCCCGGAGGCCCACACACCTGTGCAAAGCCGGGCCTGCATGGGCACTGGGGCTCAGAGCGCCCAGTGTGACCGTGGTCTTCACTGAACGGAAGCCCCCAGACTGGGCTGCCGGGGCAGCCAAGCAGCAGGCGTGGGGGGCCTGGTCTGGCCCTGCTGGCGTGGAGCACTGGCCACTCATGGAAGGAGGGCTGTGACCTGGGGACAAAGGCCCTCACCTGGCGCCACTCACGACAGCTGGAGACACCAGCGTGGCCCGAGGACCCCAGCACCCCAAGGCTCCAGGGGTCCACAGGCAAGGCGGGAAGGCCGGCGTCCACACTGAGCAGGCGCGGAGCATGTGGGCAGCGCGTGGCCCTCTCCTTGGGGACCCTTCTGAAAAGGGCACCCCAGGACTTCAGAAAGCAGTGAAGGACCTTCTCCCTGCAAGGCCGGGGCGGTGCACCCCCAACCCGGGGCTACGGAGCTGTCAGCAACGGCGACACGGGGCCTGGGGAGGAAGCCCTGGGTGACCGAGACCCCCGACCGTGTTAACCTGGGGGCGGTGAGGGCTGAGCGGTACCCAGCCCCGCACCGCCATCCTCAGAGCAGAGCAACTTTCACACAACAAATACAAACAGAGCTGAGCTTTCTCCAGTGACCAAAACAAACAAGTCAATTTGGTTACCTGCTTTGGTTACCTAAGCAAGTTGATCTGAACTCACAGTTTGAGCAAAACGTCTAAATACAATACTGGGAACTCCTGTTAGCACTAGGTAACCCAAATAAAGAAGCCAAAAAAAGCGAAGAAAAAGGGCTGCAACAGGAATTCTTAGTGATTATACACTAACCAGTCTGTGCGCGGCACATTTTATTTCTATAAAACTATTACAAAATATTCAAAAATACATTTTAGTAAATTTACAGCAGTTATTTCTCAACTTATTAATGCAAAAACATCCTTTGTTTTTCTCTGTACAAACTACAGGCTCCATTCTTGTGGGCTCATCACTATGTGCGCTTTTAAAAAATATTATTTTCTAATAAATTCTTTGAAGTTAAAAATAACAGAGTTCTTCCAGTTTGTCCAAGAAAAAAAAAGTATGTGTGTGTGACTGAGTGTGTAACAGTCTTGACTTCCAAGAATGTGGCCAAAATGGTGATGACAAAGCAAATATTAAACCCAGAAGACAATACAGGAGATGGCTGTGACATTGGAAGCTAGTTAAATTAAAATAATATATTTTCATATTTTACACTATTTCAAAAATGAAATGTAATTCAGTTAAGTATTGATCTCTCAAAAATCTAATTTACAATTCTGTGTATAAAAATATAATTTGTGGACCCCCATGAAGCATGTTTTAGTTTACACTTGCCGAAAAGCAGGAGCATTGCAAAGGAGGAGTGGAGAGGACAGAATTCTGCTTTCTGAAAGTCAGGACGAGGGGCATGTAGAAAAATAGACTCTGAGCGGGTGGCTTGGCCTCACAAAATAATTTTCCCCCTGTGAGTACAGTTCACATGATAATAATAAATTATCCAAGAAACAAACTATTTAAGGCTCTTGAAGGTCCGGTTCATATTATTTTAAAACATCTATTCATACCAAACAAATAAATAGCCAGGAGAGGTGAAAAAAAAATAACCAAAATTAAAACAAGAATCAAAAAATTCAAAAAATATATATATATAAACTAAAGACGACGACAGAATTTCTTGGGGTCTTTGATTCCTTATAGTCTACTTTGGACTGTCCTACTTTATTCTTATTCTTACTCTTATTATAATTAAAGTCTCATTGCGTGCGCTGTTTCCGTGTGTCCTTTGCGGTGTCCGGCCCCCCCACCCCACCCGCCCCGCCCCGCCCCGCCCCGGCCCACCCCACTCCACCCCACCCCACCCCACCCCACCCCGGTGCCCTCCCCGGCCCCCGTGGCCTTCAGCTGGACTTGACCGCCATACCCAGCGGGTGCAAGGCCTCGCTGTCCAACAGCCAGGTGCCTATTTGGTAGAGCAGCTCCGAGTACCAGTGGATGCCCGCGGCGCCCGGCGCGTCGGCCGCCCCCGGCACGGGCGGGGGGACGCGGCCGCCGCCCCCGCCGTCGCCGGCTCCGCCGCGGTCCGTGCGCCCGGGCGCCAGCGCGGCCAGGAGCGCGTGCGCCAGGCGGTAGGGCGCGAAGGCCCCGTGCGCCCAGCTGTGCTCCTCGATGACCGCGTAGCACGAGGCCAGCACCCGGTTGATGAGGATGGTCCCGTGTGCCGTGAGCGGCGCGTAGGCGCCCGCCGTCTCCTCGCGCAGCGTCACGCTGTGCACCGCGGCGGGCAGCAGCCGCCGGGCCCCGCCGCGCTCGGCCACCACGTACACGTGCTGGCCCGGCCGCACGCGGCTGGCGAAAAGCGCCCGGCGCCCTGGCGCGGCCCCGCCCGCCGCCGCCGCCGCCCCCTCGGGCGCCCCTGCGGCCGAGCCGTTGTGCGGCGCCACGAAGAGCAGGTGCGCGGCGGTGAGCAGCAGGCGCTCGCGAGGCTCCCGCGTCTCGATGGCGTAGAAGACTTTCTTGGCGCCAAGGTCGCGGTCCAGGAAGGTGAGGAAGTCGCTGTAGAGCAGCCGGCCCTCGTCGTCGGCCGCCAGCACGCGGTCCCCGGGCCGCAGGTCCTTCACCAGCTTGGTGCCGCCCTGCTCCAGGTGCACCGTGGCCGAGCCCGGGAAGCAGCCGCCCGACTTGGCCGCCACCGAGTTCTCTGCGGGGAGGGAGAGGCGAGACAAGGAGACGGGGAAGGGGGTGGCGGTGAGTCCCGAGAAGGAGGCTCCCGTGGAAAGCGTGAGGGGCGCGCGCTTGGCGTCCCGCGCGTCCAGGCCGGGGATGCCCGTGGCTTTGGGGCGGGGGGGGGGGCGGGGAGACAGTCCGGCCTGGGCGCGCGCAGACCTCCCTCCGCCACCCCCACCCCGGAGGCCGATTTCAGATGTAGACGCATTCCTTAACGACTCTCTTAGGGCTGGACCGGCGGTGCCAAAGGTCGGTTGGCGTCTCCGGCGGGAGGCCGCTTACCCTCCTTCCCTTCCGCCTCCCTCACCCCCACCGCCGGCTCCGCACACACCCAACCTCGCCGCGAATTCACAGGGTATTTGCTCTCCACTTGGAGTCCTCAGGAAGCCTCCTCGAGCTCCCCCGCTCGCCGGGGCGCACCCTCCTTCCCTCCCGCCTCGGCGCGGGGCGCCGCGCCCCTGCCTTCGTGCGCTCCGCACTCAGGCCGCGCGGCTGGCACCCTGGGCCGCCCACCCCAGCGCCCAGCGGGGTTGAGGTCGGGGGACTTGGGGTTGGCCGGCCGGTGTATGTGTGTGTGTGTGGGGGGGGGGGGGGGAGTGTGGTGGAAAATCGCTGCAGTAGTTGTAGCAACTGCACAAACATCCCAGAGCTTGGGCCGAGGTGTGAAACCGGGGCTGTGTGGGTTTTCTAATTAAAATCCAATAAAGGGCTCGCCATTGTCATTGTGATTTCTGCACCAAACGGGAGGCGCTCTTGGAAGAGGGGACCCTTCCATCCCTCCCCCGCCCCCCCACTTTCTCAGCGCGGGCCGCCCCCTCCCTGTTTGCTCAGGTGCAGCGCCCCTCCCCCGCCCCCCGGCGATTCACACGCGGGCCCTGCAGAGGCCCGGGCCTCACAAGCACTGTTTGCACAGCCAGGCCTCTCTTGCAAGCACTCAAGATGTGTATTTGAATTTTAAATGGCGGGGCCTGCTCCGCGCTCGGGAAGCCCCGGGTTCTCAAGGCCCCTTGACTACCGGCTTTCTCCGGCCTCCGCCGCTCTCTGAGGCTCACTGTCCCCGGGACAATAATCCCGGGGAGCCGGGCGGCGCGCGGGGGGCCGGGGAGGAGGGGCGGGACGGCCCCCCGTCTTCTTTGCATTCCAATCTCTGGGATCAGGCTTTTGGCAAATAGAGATCGCCAGAAAGAATCTTCCTGCTGGAATTACTGAGGGTATTTAATCTTCTCATCGTTTTCTCGGGCATGAAGTGCAGGGAACGGCCTTTGGAGGCCCGCCGCAGCCGCCCGCAATGCGCCCGGGACTCAGGCGAGCCCGAGTCGTCGAGTCGCACGACCCTGCCTGACACGCACCGCCCCGCGCCCGGCCCGCGTGCGCGGAATGCCAATGAGCGGCTCTGCTGCGCGCCCGGCCCCGCGCCCCCGTCAGAGTCCCGGGTCGGACGACCGCTGCTCATTTGCGCGGAGACCTCGAGAGACAACCCCCCACCTACCCCAGCCCCGCCAGGAACCGGGTGGGCGGGAGGGGGCCGCGCGCCGCGCCTCCGTTTGGGAGCCCCGCGCAGGGGGCGGGGGTGGGGGGCGCGCCTTGGCGCCCCCCAGCGGCTGAGACCCTTTCTCGGGCTATAAACCCGGGCCTTCTGCCCACCCGTCCACACCGTGGGCCAAGAAGCCATCCTTTTTCTGTCCTCCGAAGTGTGTCGACACTTCCCAAGTGTTTTTCCTCCTAACGTGCTAGTAAAACACAGGTTAGGGGACAAACGCAAACCCAGGGGCGGGGGAGACGGGGCTCCTCCGACACCCCCTGTGGACTGCTCTGCTTCTGCAGGGAGGTGGCAGGACCGCCCGGCCGAGTCGGGGCCTGCGCCCGCGCGCGCGCGCCTGCCTCCGGAGCTGTTCCTCGCCCGCAACAGCGAGTGGCGTTGCAGGCCCAGGGAAGCGGCCTCGCGGCGCAGGGCGGCCCGGCTGGTTCCCAGGGAGGACTGGCGCTCCGGGCTGGCGCCCTCCAGATGTTGGAAGCCGTAACTACTGGATTTGTGACCGGCCGCCGGGCCTCGTCCCCCAGGCCGGGTGAGCCCAGTTAGCCTAGGCTCCGGCGGGGCGGGGAGGGGACGGGGTTTCCACCCGGGGCGGCCCCTCCCGCGCAGGGAGGTGGGGGCGGAGTGGGGAGTGGTTTCTTCTTAAGCCCTCCCGAGACAAAGGTTCCGGGCCAGAGCTGGCTCTCTGGGCTGGGCTGTCTCTTTCACCAGGAAAGCCGCCCCTACCCCGCCCCACCACCCCCAATCTTTTCTCCCCGTCTCCTGCCACCTGCACTGGGGACTCCGGAAGCCGGGCTGGAGGGCGGCCCGGGTAGCCAGATGCCCTCTGCACCTGGACTCCGAGGACGTGCGCCTCTGCAGCCTCCAAGGTGGACATGGCGAAGGGCCGCCCCCCACAAACAGCAGTCAGCCCCCAGGGCCCTCCCTGCCCGCCCCCCACCCATCTTCCTCTGGCCCTGGAGTCAGCCTGTGGGGTGCCAAGCTGGAGATGGGCGAGAGAGGGGCGTGCTGCCGGCAGGGGCGGGCCGGCCCCTCACCTGCTTTCACCGAGCAGTGGATGTGCGCCTTGGACTCGTAGTAGACCCAGTCGAAGCCGGCCTCCACGGCCAGGCGCGCCAGCATGCCGTACTTGCTGCGGTCGCGGTCCGAGGTGGTGATGTCCACAGCGCGGCCCTCGTAGTGCAGCGACTCCTCCGAGTGGTGGCCGTCCTCATCCCAGCCCTCAGTCACCCGCAGCTTCACGCCCGGCCACTGGTTCATCACGGAGATGGCTAAGGCGTTCAGCTTGTCCTTGCACCTCTGTGGGGAGAAGGGGGCACCCCAGGGGACGTTAGCATCCAGGCCTGCCAGCCACTCCCACCGCGGGCCACCCTATGCCTCTCTACCCTATGCCACCCCTGCCCCTGTGGGCTGTTCAGCCCAGCCCCCCAAGATGCAGACGGTGCAGAGAAGGAAGGAGACAAGGCCTGGACCGGGGCGAGGGCATTTGGGTAGGAGGGGTCCTGGCATCTGTGGGATGTCAGTTCCCTCAGAGACGACCTGGGGACTTTCTCTGCATCTGAAACAGCAGAGGCCCGATCGTGGCTGAGAAGCAGATGAAATTTCTCGTCAACAAGTCAGCTGTGCGTTTCCGGACGATGGCTGCGGGCCTGCACCCTGCGCCAGGGTGCCCTCCAGCCCTGCCCCCTCCTGTTTGGCCCCATCGCCCAGCACCTGTGCGAGGCTCCGCCCCTCTCCCTGGACAAACCCCTCATCTGGAGGCCGCAGAGAGGCCCGGGGCGCAACTGTGCCGCAAAAAGAAAAACACACTGTCTACTTCTCAAAGAATTAAAAGCCTTGCCTTATCTCTGTGCCCTGGCTCCTGCCCTGTGCCTGTCTGGGGCGAGACTTAAGCTAAAGGTAGAGAGGTAGGTGGGACGCTGATAGCGACTCGAGGGGCGGGGAGCCGGGAGTGAAAGGCAACCAGGTGAGTTATAATTTTCTATAAGGCCAGGGCCGGATGGCAAACATTCTTTATCTGGACAGCCGCATTCCTTTTCCCCGTGGAACTCTTTTTTTCCCCCAGCTTTTCTGCGGTCTGATTGTGACTCTTGTTTTCCTTAACCTGTTCCCTTCCCCCCTCTTGTTTTCTTGGCCGGCTCAGAATGGTGTCCTGCAAGTTTGAAGAGCAAACTTAAGAGCTGGAGGAGGGGTGGGGTGGGGAGGGGAGGGGAGGGGATGGGTGGAGAGCGGAGGGGAGGGGAGGGGAGGGGAGGGGTGGGGAGGGGTGCGGTGGGGTGGGGTAGGGGCGAGGAGAGGGGGATGGGGCGAGGGGAGGGAGATGGGGGTGGGGAGAGGGGAGGGGGATGGGGGTGGGGTAGGAGGGTGAGCTGGAGAGGCCCGGGGGGGGGGGGAGGGGAGGGCCTCTGAGCTCTTGCCTTGGGGAGCCTCCTTCTGGAAACCGCCCTTGGGGTCCCCCCTCCTCCCCACAAGGAAGCTGCCTTCCTTGTGGAGTAAAGAAACAGTGAATAGGCGGGACTCGAGCCAGGGCAAAGTTGTGGGAGTTCCCGCAGGATTCTTGGGTCCCATTCAGATAAGGATGCGAGAGCGCCTCGGATCACGTGTGCGTTGCTGTGGACAGTAACTCACTGGACTGTTGCACCGCGGCTGCTGGGTGCAGGACTGCAAAAAGTGGGAGTGGTGACCAAGTCAGGATGGGGGCGTCCCCCAAAGAGGCAGACTCGAGGGGGAGGTAGGTGACAACTCCAAGCTGACTTCTGCAGAGGGCGGGGCTGACCTCCAGCGGGGACCCCGGTTACCGAGATGACACGACGCCCCCCTCCAGGACCCTGATTATGGCTGGGTGGGGTGGGGGGGCTCATCCTACGGAGTCGGGGGGGGGGTGCCGAGGGCTCTGGCAAGGGCTGCTGCCGCATTTTAAGGGGACGTGACCGATTGCGCAACAGGAAAAGTCTTGTGTATTTGGCAGCAATAAATACCAGTCTATGGTTGTAGGGTTAAACATACAACAAATGTGTGTTGGGGGGGGGGTGCGGGCAGAGGACTAGGGGGCGGCCCTGGTAACAGGTCAGCGCTTGCAGGTTCCTGGGCCCGCCAACAGTTTTCTTTAAAAAAAAAAAAAAAAAGTCGGAAGGACAGAGTTTGAGTGAGGTCATCTCGAGGATTGAATGCGTTTTACATGAAAATCAATCAGTAAACCAGAGGCAGTTTCGAGCCGGGATGTGGAACGCGCTGCGCAGGCGCACACCACGACGCGCACACGCAGACACTCGCCTCCCGAGCCCCCTTGGCACCCCGGCTCCCTGCTTTCGGGGGGCAGGCGGAGCTTTTTGATGGCTTCCTCGGGGGCCGCTGGCGAGGGGGAGGGCGGGCTGGGGAGCACCTGTACCGGACCCCGCCTTCTGAGCTGCGCCACCCAGGCAAGCGATGGAGAAGCCGGGCGAGGAGCCCCGGGGCCGCGCCAAGACAGGCCCGAGTCGGCGCCCCGCGCCCCACGCGCGCTCCCCCTGCTCGGCCGGGCGCCGGGGGCGGGGGGGCCTCGGCCTCGCGGCTGCAGGACGCTCCGCGCCCCGGCCGGGCGGGGTCGTCGCAGGCAGAGCGGGGAAGGCTGGGCCGGTGATCAATTCACTGGGTCGTGTGCCACGAATCAAGCCCGCCTCTGTGCAGCCACCGTGAAGCCCGGCGGGGCCGGTGGGCCCGGCTTTGTGTCGGCGGAAGGCCGAGCTGTTCCCCACGCCTGGGCTCCCGCCGCCTCCCCCGTCTGCGCAGCCGCTCCGCGCCCCGGGGAGCCGAGCGGGGGCTGTCGCCGCCGACGGGCTTCTCCGGCGCGGGGGAGGGGTGCCCCAACTTCACAAGGGTCCCTCCCCCAAGTCCCGCACGCGCCTCTCTCCACGCCTCCGCCCCCACTGCAGAAAACCAGGCCCCTCCCGTGGAACCCACCGCGGAGCGCCGCTCCCCGGGGGCCGCCACGCACTCCCCGGAAGCCGGCCGGTCCCCACCGCAGCCCCCGGCCGGCCCCCGGCGGCCCCCTGCCCCCTCGGAGCCCCCGGCACCCGCGGCCGGCCTGCGGGGAGAGCGTGTCGGTCTGCGCTCCCCCCTCCCCGCCCCGAGTTAATATTAACAGGAGCGCCTGCGTTCCTGAACTGCTCTCAAAGTTCCACTGGGGACGATCTCGCCATGGTTGAGGGACTTGGGCGGCAGTCCCATTAGAGAGACAGGGACGCAGAGAGACGGGGGAGGAGGGACACGCACCTGAGAACAGTCTGGGCGGTTATCTTAAGTGGGGGGCCCGCGGGGCGCAGGTGCCTGCTCCCCCCACTTCGCCGGCCCTGCCCTCCCCGCCCAGGTCTCCCGCCTTCCGCGCTTTAACTCTTAGGACCGGCGGGGGGGGGGGGGGGCGGGAAGGAAGCGGTGGCGGAGAGCAAGGGGGGCACCTCTCAGGCCGCCCCCCAGCCAGCCTCCCCATTTTCAGGGGGCGTTGGGGGGGTCCCGGCTACGATCCTGGCCAGCCCTGCCCCACCCCGCCCCCTCGCCGGCTGCCCCTCCCCCCTTCTTTTGTGTTGGGAACGGGAATAGCCACTGCCCAAGGAAAAAAAGTATTTGTTTTCGTTTCGTTCGTCTGAGGGAAGTTGACAGAAGGTCAGAAGTTCAAATGCTGCCAGCGCACACGGCGGCCGGAGCGGCCCGGCGTCGGGCCGCGCGGCCGTGGGTCCCGGCGGGGGCTGCCAGGGGCGGCGAGGGGCCCGGCGGGGGACTCGGCCGGGCGCCCTGGCCCGCGAGGCGCCCCCGCCCGGGAACCGGCCTGCCCCCTCCCGCCCGGTGCCGCTCGGTGCCGCCCCCGCCAGCCCGGCTGTCAGAGCGCCGCCGGGAGCTCTTGGCCGAGCCCGCGCTCGGGCGCGTGGAGGGGCCGGCGGGAGGCCGCGGTTCAGCCCCGCGCGCATTGAAACCCGAGCCGCGGGATCGATAACCCCGGAGTAAGTGGAGCCGGGATGCGTCTGCCCGGGTGCGCGGCTCCGCGCGCTCGGCCCGGGTGGCGGGGCGGCGAGGCCCGCGGCCCAGGCAGAGCGCGGGTCGGGGACCCCGCGCCCTCCCGCGCCGGCCCCGCGCGGAGCGCGGCGCACGCCGAGCCCTCCAGCTCGGGGACCTCCGGCGCCCCCGCCCCCGCCGCTTTCTCCGGGCTCGCGCCCCGCTCCCCCGGCTCCGAGGGATCCCGGGAAGGCCCCTTCCGTCCCGCGGGTCGAGCGTGAGCCGGGGGTCGGAGCCCCGCACGCGCCGGGCCCCCCGCGGCCTGCGCAGAGTTAACTGCGGCTCTCGCCGCTCCCGGCACCGGCGCGCGCGTCCGCACTCGCGGGCCAGATTTAAGGTGGTCGGGAGCAGATGCGAGCGAGACGGGGAGAAGGACCTTCTCCGCCCCCGCTCCCTCTCCGCCCGCTGCCCGTCCGTGGAAGCCCGCTGCCCCGCCGGGCCCTCACTCTGCTCGGCTCCGCCGCAAGGCCGGGCAGCGGGCCGGGGAGCGCCGCGGCCCCGGAGGCGGCTCCCGGGTCGCTCCCGCCCCCAGCCTCCCCCGCACCAGCGGCCCGCCAGCGCCGCTCCGTCAGCGGCGGTGCGCTCCTGGCCCTAAAGGTAGGACTCGAATATTTTAATAGGGCAATAAAAAGGATGTTGACCTATATTCCTCAGGAAATCCATTTCTAGCTTCAGTCCTACGTGCGTGGAGTTGGCAGAAAGTCTCCCACTGGCGGGGAGATGGGCAGTCAGGAGTCTTCAGCGGAGGTAGGGAGGGCGAAGGAATGCGTGTTTCGCTTTGGTTCGTCTCTCCACCCCCCTCCCGCTGATACCGAGTCTCCTAATTCCTAGGCAAGCAGGTTGAAAACTAGCGTGATGCAATGCCAGTAAGTTCTAAGTCCCTCCCCTCAAGTACCGCGGGCTCCGGAGAATCAGAGGGCATCCTTAAAGAAATATCGATACAGTCACACTCGGGTGGGCACAACCTCCCGCGACCGAGTGGCGGTGGAAGCTCTGTGTTCCGGGCACGGGCCAGCCCGGCGGCCTCTGGACCCCAACCCTTTGTCAGCACTGCCTGTGGAGGGGCTTTGGGGGTGGGGGGCGTGCGACAGAGTGGGGTAGTGGGGGGAAAGGGAAAGCACAGAGGAGAAAGGAAAGCGGGAAGCGCAGAGGCTGCACCTGCCCGGTGACCCGGACACCCCTTGACTTGCCCCCTGTCCTCCTCCGTCGGTGCCCACTCCCCACTTGGAAAGGACAGATGACCCCAAAGGGAAGGTCTCCCCAAGTTTCCAGCCAAAGCCAGGCAGCATAGAAAGGCCATCCCAGCAGGATGCATGCGATCAGTGGCTCCCGTGGACCGCATCTCCTGGCGTCCTTACCCCCCACCCCCACCCTCAACTTGTCCATCTGGACCCTTCACCTCCATTCCCCTCCAGGAAGAGGAAGGCACCCGGAGGCCCGGCAGGTGGGTGGGGAAGGAGCGGGCAAAATCGCCTTTCTACCTGCCTGAAGAGCAAACAGACCCAACTGCATGGTTACACATAACCCCTTGAAAGCAACACATTCCACGCCCCGCGCTGGGTTTCTACCTGAGTCATCAGCCGGTCCGCTCCAGTGTTTTCTTCATCCTTAAATATGATGTCGGGGTTGTAATTGGGGGTGAGTTCCTTAAATCGCTCTGAGTTTCTGGTGATCTTCCCCTCGTATCTTCCGCTGGCCCCTAGGGTCTTCTCGGCCACGTTGGGGATAAACTGCTTGTAGGCTAAAGGGGTCAGCTTTTTGGGGTTCCGCCTCTTGCCAAATCCCCTGCCGGGTCCGCACGCCAGCCCCGAGCACATAAACAGCGAGGAGACCAGCAGCACCAGGAGACATCTCGCCAGCAGCAGCATCTCGTCCATGGAGCCCGGGGACCTGGCGGCCGGCCGGCGCAGGTCCGAGTGCGCGAGGGTGCGGGTGTGCGAGTGTGCGCGCTCTGCCTCCCTCGCTCCGGCTGGCTGCTGGCGCCCGCGCGCCCTGCCTCGCTCTTTCTTTTCCTATATAACCTTGCCCGCCGCCGCCGCTGCGGGGGACTCGCCACCGATCCGCACCCAGACGGGGGCTGGGACGGCTGGCTGCTGGCCGCTGATAACGGAACGCATCGGAGTTGGAGCTCAAGACAGCCGGCAGAAGACAAAAAGAGTCTGATTTTAAATGGTAGCAAGCCTGAGAGCTTGTGCGAGAGGCAGTCTTCAGTACTATATTATAGCTGGCAGGGCGGATCTGATTGGCCGGAGCCGCACAAGCTTGTCTTCTGATGTTTAACCCTAAAAAAGACTCATTTTTTTTCCCCTCTGTTGCTGCTGTGGCTTTATTTTTACCTGAAGGCTTCTAGTTAAGAGAGGAAAACATCTTCACCGAGACAAAGGTGAGAGGGAGGGAGGAGGCAGGCGGATGAGGATAACCTCAGTTACCCCTGCCCTGCACACACCTCCTGTTCCCCCTTCCCTTTCTCCAGAATGGTAGATGCTTCAGTTAAAACCAACTTAAGTTTTTAAAGGACAATCTAGACTCAACGTCCCCCACCCCCAAGCTTCCATCACCAACCAAATAGTCTCTCAAATGTTTGTTGGGCAGAGCTGCCCAGGTCTTATTTAAATGTTTTCCCAGGGACGTTATCATGCAGGCCAGGTCTCCCTGCAGTTGAAAGACAGGGGTGGGGGGGGGGGCTATGCTCCTCCTGAAGACTCCAGGCACTACAACTGGTCGGGACGCACATCACACGCCAAGTGGTGCTATTTGAGGAGCTTCTGACACCTTAGAACAACTTGAACCTGCTGCTCTTTATTGTGATTCGGTTAATGCATTATTTTTAACGTCCTGAAAGTAGAATGGAGACACGCTCAGGGGCTGGTGCAGAGTTGAGGGGATGGGCTGGCCGGCTGGGCCCCAGTGGGTCTGGGGGCTGCACCCCAGCTCAGAGCAGCAGGCGGTGCTGGTGCCTGCGTGGTGGGCGGAGGCCCACTGTGCCGGGGGCGGGGGGCAGCGGGGAGTGGGCAAGGCTGTGCACACACCGCCCCCACGATTGCATCGATCGGAGCAAAGTGCAGGCCAGAGATGAGGTGAATGTGGAATTCAGGCTCCTTGCACATCACGCCGAGCTGGCTTTCCCTGGAGTGGGTCACAGTCCTTGTTCCCCAGGGGCTGCAGCCCGAGGTGGGGCAGGGCACTGGGGGCACACCGTCCTGGTCAGAGAGGGGCATCCAGGAGTGGGCTTGGCGCTCAGGGCCAGCAATGCTGGAACTCCCAGGTCCTGCATTTAAGGAACAAACTTAAAGTCTTATTTCAACCAGAAAAAGAAAAGCAAAGATCCCCCCACCCCTTTTGCAGAATATGTCCTCCTTCTGGGCCCTGCCCTATTGCTCAGACACAGTAACTGCTCCGGAGTGGGGTGGGGGGCGGGGCTGTCCACGTGGAGGGGACGGAGCGAGGCCTGGGGTTCACTCGGTGCAGTTAAGAGCTGTCGCTGGGCCCCAGCCATGGTCTGGGTGAGCTCCACGCAGACACGCTTTTCTGGGGGCAGCGTGGAAGGGGGGCGTCGCCAGGGTCTGCAGTGGGGCGCCCTCGCAGAAGCCCAGCATCACCGAGGCTCTGCCGCCCAGGAGCCCCTCCCCCTCTCCATGTTGGTCTATGATTCTTGGGGCATCAACACGACTTGCTCAAGGCCTCCCAGTGGGACAGAAGCAGGAGGGTAACACTGGCCTGGACCCCAGAGGTCGGTCTGCTCGGGGCGGTCACCTCGTGCAGCTCGGTGTGGTCACGACACGGCTGGAGGTGGGGGCTTGTCCTCAAGCCCCTGGGCCCTGGGGACACTCTGGCCTCCTGACCGCCCTCCCCGGACACGAGTGGTGCCTCCCTCCAGCCCCTTCCCTCCCTTCCCCTTTTCCTTTCCTAGAAAGGCAAAAGGGCTGCAGCACTGGGTCTCAGACCCCACAGCCCGAAACTCAGGACCCATGTAGCCACCATGTGAGCAGGGATGCTCCCCCAGCATCCCACCAGGACCCCAGACCGGCCAGGCACCAGAGCGAGGCTGGCACTTGGGGAACCAAAGCCCGAGTGCCTCAGCTGCAGAGGGCTCGGAGACCTGAGGCCTCAGGGAGCGGGCACTTGGCCCCTCACTCCCAGGAGGTGGGAGGTCCCTTCGTCCTGCCCCAGCAGTGCGGGGGTGGGCAGGGGTGGGGGATCGGGCTGAGGCCAACCGTGCCTGCCAGCCCTGGACACCCTGAGAGCCTGCCAGGGTTGCCTGCCCCGAGACTGGCGGATCCTCAGGAATGAAAAAGCGATAGGCCGTCCACCCACCACTGATGCCTGAATTCCAAGGACCTGCTCCCTGCCGTGGCGGGGGTGGTGGTGGTGGGGAATCAGGACAAAAAGCCACTGCAGTTTGCGTCTCTGGCCCTAGAAATGAGGGCATCGGCCGAGCGCCCCGAGATGCTGAGGTCTCGCCCTCCCCCCCGCGTCCCCTGCCTTTCATCCCACCCCTCCCCACCTCCCAGACACCAGACACGGGCGTCTTCCACCTCCAGACGCCAGATGGCTCCCTCTCTTTGCCGTTACCCTCCAGACGGCCCGGGCCCCTCCCCCTTGCGGGTCGGAGGTTCCAAGCCCCAGCCTCTGCTGGCGCTGACCCGGCCTCCCAGGTAACCCTGAGGGGCCCTTGCTGACCCGTCTGGGCGCTGCCCTCCTTTCCCGCGGTCCTCTCCTTCCTCCCTCCGCCCCGCCCCCTCCCCGCAGCCTCCCATCCTCCCATCCCTCGCCAGCATCCTTGCTGAGGACAGGTGGCTGCCCGGTTCCTGCCCCCGCTCCCAGGAGGCGCCTCCGGGCCGGGCCCCCGCCGCCCCGCCGGCCCCCGCCGCTAGATGGCCCCGTCAGTCTGCCTACAGTCTCCGCTCTGCCCGTGTAGGAGCCGCGTGCCGCCCGGGTCGGGAGGCCCCCTGCAAGCGGGGCTAGACGGCGTGGTCTTTAGGCGATCGCCCTTTCCCTTTTCCAGTTTGGCTGGGCCCTGCCGCTGGAGCTCTGGCCTCCCCATCAGAGCGGCCGTGGCCACACCTCTGCAGGGCTGTCTGGACCACGGATCCTACCTTCTTCCTCCGTGTATCCCCCACTCTGACTTCTTTTCCCCGATCATACTCATACTCAGTCTCTTTCCATCCAATCATCCAGTTTCAATTGCTTTCGCATTTTTGTTCCAGTTTTAGCAAATTGACTCTCTGTTGTTCCAGTTCTCCTAGGGATTGCCGGCCAGGCCCCGCTCGGGATGCTGGAGGGATGCGCCCTTCACCACTGCAGGCCCCAAGACCCTGGACCTGGGGCAAGGATCCCCGGCCTCCTGGGCTGCCCAGGGAGGGCCCTGCTGGCCCCAGCGGGAGCCCCCTCCCAGGTCAGCAGCAGCTACTGGCTGCCCTTCATCCGTGTGCCCGTCACGCTGTGGCTGAGAGGCGGGCAGGGCTGCGAGGAACTGGGGAGGAGGACCCCAGCCCTGGCGCGATGCTGTCTGCACGGGTTGGCGCTTGCACAGCCATGTCTCCCGGCATTCAGAGTGGAGAGAAGTCCGTGCCTGGGGATGGGCACAGGCCTGCGGGTGGACCCGTCTTTCCCCGGGTCTCGGTCCATCTCTGAAGCAGGAGCAGAGATGACAGTGAGCTCCCCGCCCCGCCCCCCCCAGGACCTGTGATCTGCTCTGATACTTTGGGGGAGGGAGCTGGAGGGCCGTGTGTCTCTCCCGGGAACAGGGGATGAGCCCAGAACCGGAGCTGACTGGTCAGTGGGTCCTGGAGTGGGGTTTAGAGCGGCCCGGGTCAGGGTGGGTGCCCTGGACGAGGGCACCCGTCCAGGGAGTGGAGACTCGGGGCCACGTCCGGCTTCTCCTGTCGTCTCCCGGTCGGGGGTGGGGGTGGGGCGCTGGCCACCCCCGCTGGCGCTGTTGCTTTGGAGGAGGATGGCTGCGACCCTTCCTGGCAGCCAGCAGGGCGCTTACATCATCTGGGCAACTTCTGCCCGAACGTTTTCTTCTAGATGGAAAGGGATGCGGTGCTGACATGCAGAAACCCTGAGGCCGTCATGCCGTTCCTGGAGCGGAGGGGGCACGGAGACCCAGGGGTGGGCTGGGGTGGGGGGCACGGCATCTGCTGGCAGCTTTCCTCCAGGTCCCAGCAGCCTGGGCAGCTCTGCCGCTCCAGGTCTGCCCTCCTCCGCCCTCTCTCTTGACTGGTCACTGACCGCTTGTGACCCCCAGCGAATGGTGGTCTTCAAGCCTGCGATTCCGTGTTGACCTCGGCCAGCAGTTGGTCTAAGGTGGAGCCTGGGAGCCAGCCCCCTCCGCTACTCTGAACCCCCCACCCCCACTGGTCCCTTAAGTGTGCAGCTTTGATACCCTGGTCCCCCCCCCCCCGCCCCCGCAGGGAGGCACCGGTGGTTCCAGCTGGCCTCCCAGGAGCCTTTCAGCTCTGCCGGGCACCAGTCCTGCGTGGAGTTGAGGTGGGAGCCCTCGGGGTCCTGCTTGGCCAGCCACTCCTCCTGGATCCCCAACTCCCCCCCCCACAAAGAGTGTCCCCCTCCTTTGTTGCCTTGAAAGGGGGTCATGCCGCTTCTTCCTTTTCTAAAGATGCTTTTTGACGTGGACCACTTTTAAAGTCTTTATTGAATCTGTTGCAATGTTGTTTGTGTCTTCTGTTTTGTCTTTTTGGCCCCGAGGTATGTGGATCTGAGCTCCCTGACTGGGGATTGAACTTGTACCACCTGCACTGGAAGGGGAAGTCTTAACTCCTGGACCACCGGGGACGTCCTGCCTCATCCCTCTTAAAGTGCCCAGGCAAGACCCGGAAACACAGAGGCATCAGGAGGAGGGGACTAGGAGGTGCGG